GGCACTCTACCCAGGGGGACAGCTTGAGGCTCTGTCTCAAAAAATAAAATAAAATAAAATAAAATAAAATAATTTCCCAAAGGGCCTAACTTATTATAAAGAATAGTTTAGTTGTTGGGAAATTCTACTCAATACCTAATCAAATGGACTGTAAGTTTTACTCCAAAATGAATTATTAATTATACAAAGAGCATAATAGTTCTTACAGTAAGGATTGTACAAAATATAAGGCATTATTTATGAATATAGAATAAGCACAAAACATGCTTTCTTCAAATAATCTGTGAAATTGTGAAATCTTTTTTTTTTTTTTGCAGTTTTTGGCCGGGGCTGGGTTTGAACCCGCCACCTCCGGCATATGGGGCTGACACCCTACTCCTTTGAGCTACAGGTGCCACCCAGTCTGTGAAATCTTTATCAAAAATATTTTTTTTCTTACTATTAGGAAACATATTATGGGAAAAATGAATACTAACTCTCTAGATTTGTATTTGCTTAAACTTTCAAAATAGATTTGATTGGAAAATACATTAATGTTCCCACTTCAACATGAGAGAAGACAGTTTATTAGCTTTATAGATATAACATGGTCTTAAGGAAAAATAGCAAAGAATAAGACTTTTATAATCTTTTTTTTTTTGAGACGGAGTTTCACTATGTCGCCCTGGGTAGAGTGCTGTGGCATCACAGCTCACAGCAACCTCAAACTCTTGGGCTTAAGAGATTCTCTTGCCTCAGCCTCTCAAGTAGTTGGGACTACAGGCGCCCGCCACAACCCTGGCTTTTTTTTTTCTTTTTGGCTGTAGTTGTCCTTGTTGTTTGGCAGGCCCAGGCTGGATTCAAACCCATCAACTCCGGTGTATGTGGCTGGCACCCTAACCACTTGAGCTATAGGCACCAAGCCAGACTTTCATAATCTTAAGAACCATTTCAGCTTTATGAATTCAAAGAATTATTACAGATGAGTTTATTCATTTGCCCGAGTTCTTTCACTGAAGATGTCTAAACAATTATAATTATCTTGTCTGTAATAATTCATGATAATATTAATTAAAAATTCATGTTATTATTATCATTTGTATCATCCATATAGTCAGACATATCTTGAAATTATTTTACTCAAAAATGGATCAGGGGGCGGCACCTGTGGCTCAAAGGGGTAGGGCGCCGGCCCCACATGTCAGAGGTGGTAGGTTCAAACCCAGCCCCAGCCAAAAACTGCAAAAAAAAAAATTTTTTTCAATGATAGATACTGCTGTCTCTATAGCGCCTGGCCAGATAACCTTTTGGGCAGCACCTGTGGCTCAAAGGAATAGGGTGCCAGCCCCACATGCCGGAGATGGCGGGTTCAAACCTAGCCCTGGCCAGAAACTGCAAAAGAAAAAAAAAGGATTAGGAGATGAGCTTTATCTTTTATACCTTTTTGAATTCAGTCCGTACTAGTTGTTGAAGTTCATTAATCCTTGATGAAAAATATGAACTGTTAATTGATAGAGGCCTTGCTGTCCATTTTTTGATAAATGCAAATTTTCCCACTTATTTACTTCACTAAATTCTGTATTTAGGGAAGGCTTAAGAGTTACAAATCATGTATGTTATCCTTGGCAGGAGCGTCGTAAGCAACAGCAGTGGGAAATAGTGCACAAGCATCAAGAGACATCACAGAAGATCGCCGCCCGCGCGTTTGCACAGCGCTACCTGGCTGACCTTCTCCCGTCTGTGTTCAGCAGTCTCAGGGATAGTGGCTACTTTTATGACCCCATTGAAAGAGGTTTGTGGATATTTTTTATAAGGTTAACTGTGTTATAATAAGCATCCTCTTAAAAAAAAAAAGAAATAAAAAATAAGCATCCTCTTAATGGTTAAATTTATTTCAGGCCCAGGAGGGTTGGGGGGGGTGGCTGTGGTTCCATGCGTAGGGCACTGGCCCTGTATACCAAGGGTGGTGGGTTTGAACCTGGCCCCAGCCAAACTGCAACAAAAAATAGCCGGGTGTTGTGGTGGGTGCCTGTAGTCCCAGCTAATCGGGAGGCTGAGACAAGAGAATCGCCTAAGTCCAAGAGCTGGAGGTTGCCGTGAGCTATGAGGCCACAGCACTCTACCAAGGGTGACAAAGTGAGACTCTGCCTCTTTAAAAAAAAAAAAATTTTTATTTCATGCCCATTTTTACTTTGAGTTGGAAAGTTTGGCCGGGCTGGTGACTCACACCTGTAGTCCCAGCACTGTGGGAGGCCGAGGCGGGTGGATCACCTGTGCTCAGAGGTTCGAGACCAGCATGAGCCAGAAGGAGAGCCAGAGTGAGACCCTGTCTCAACCAAAAATTGCCGGGCGTTCTGGCAGGCGCCTGTAATCCCAGCTGCTTGGGAGGGTGAAGCCAGAGAATCACTTAAACCCAGGGACCCAGGGGTTGGCAGAGGTTGCTGTGAGCTATGTACCCTACTGAAGGACACAAAGTGAGACTCTGTCTCCTCCATTTAAAAAAATAATAATAAATAAAAAATAAAAAAGAAAGTTTTAGCTCTGAGACAAGTCAGTTACAATCATTTTAAGTAAGTACTATTACTAATAAGAGCTGTATTACAAAGATATCTATTTTAGGATATCAATGTTTCTTTATTAAAAAGCAACCTTGGATGGCTCGGCACCTGTGGCTCAAGTAGCTAAGGCGCCAGCCACATACACCTAAGGTGGCGGGTTCGAATCCAGCCCGGCCCGCCAAACAACAATGACGGCTGCAACCAAAAAATGGCCAGGCGTTGTGGCGGGTGCCTGTCGTCCCAGCTACTTGGGAGGCTGAGGCAGGAAACTCGCTTGAGCCCAGGAGTTGGAGCTGTGAGGCTACAGCACTCTACCCAGGGGGATAGCTTGAGGCTCTGTCTCCAAAAAAAAAGAAAAAAAAAGAAAATCAACCTTGGATAGTAGAAAGAAATATGGACATGATATCAAAAACTTGAATTTGGGTCCCAATTTCATCACTAACTGCCATGGGGACCTCTGGTTTGCATCATGTATGAAATGAGGACATTTAGGAGCTAAGTCAAAGCACATGAAACTTTTTGAAAACAATAAGGTAGTATGTGTAGATAAGTAATTATTCTTAATGTTTTCTCAGCCGACTTCCTAGTCCAATCAAAAACTCTTTGAGGCAGCTATCAAGGTCACTTATTTATTTCATTAGGCCCTTAACCCTGTCTCTGGCAGTATTCAGAGTTGGAGGTAAAGGAGGTCCCCTGATCTCTGCCTTCATGGAACCCATGGCCTGATAGCTGTCTGTCCTCATCCCTCAAAGCCTACCCCTAGGTGGCCAGCCAGCGGGAGGGGAAGCTTATGCGTCCTCACTGCCACTCTCCTTTCACGGGTTTGCAAAGCACATCGGCAGAGTCCTGTGTATAGGCCAATAGTACTTTATCAATTTCATTGACCAACAGGATTTTATTAATGTAGTAATGTTAATTTTTACTGGTTATATATTCAGTTCAATACATAGAGGTCAGATCACAGACAAGTATTATCAGTTTACATTTATATCACACTTGCCAATTTACATAGTGTTTTTTAGTCCATGATATCATTTGTTCCTCCCAATATCTCTGTGGGAACCTAGGACAGATATAATTTCCATTTTTCAGAAGTAGAAAATGAAGCTCAGTTAAGTCAAATGCCTTGCTTCCAAACACTCAGTGGAAGTGTTTAGGTCTCAAACTGATCTGGAGCTCTGACTCCAACTCCAGTGTGTGTTCCATGCTGCCATGCTACCTTCTGGCTTCTAACTAGGCCTTTTACTATTAGCCACAGAGATCGGTAACCTTTTGTACTATCATAGATTGTCCAAAAAGTCAGTCTCAGACCATTTAAAAGCTTATAAATGAAATTCATGCCTGAGATTAAAATGATTTATAGTAGTGAATATATTAATAATCTATCACACTGTCTATTGTCATTCAATTGAAAAATAAAATTAGATCTCTGCCCCTAAAAAGCTATTTTGAAACTTTAAAATGCATATTATAATGGACCATATTTTTTAAATGCTTACAGAATAGATTTCCATTTCAGTCTGAATAAACTTATTACTAATGGAAACAACTAATTTCTGACCCATTTCTAGATGGCTGCCTCCTCCAATGACCTCTGACCTGTACCCTGTGAGTCTGGTCACTTTTCTTAGGCCCTGGGCTTCAGGGGGGCCATTCTTCTTACTGGCAATGTTCAGTCCCAGAGGTGCATTTGCATTGGTCGTTTTGTTTTGTTTTGTTTTGTTTTTGAAACAGAATCTCACTATGTCACGTTGGGTAGAGTGCTGTGGCATCGCAGCCCACAGCAACTTCAAACTCTTGGGCTTAAGCGATTCTCTTGCCTCAGCCTCCCAAGTAGCTGGGACTACAGGCACCCACTGCAACACCTGGCTATTTTTTGGTTGGAGTTGCCATTGTTGTTTGGCAGGCCGGGCCAGATTCGAACCTGCCAGCTCTGGTGTATGTGGCCGGCGCCCTAGCCCCTGAGCTACAGACACCAGGCCAAGATGTGCGTTGCATTTGGACTGGCATTCTCCCAGGGCCATGTCTTTACCCTGCCTCCTTGAGCCACCGCAGATTCACCTCTGAAGTCAGCCCCAGATGCCTTGACTCCAGGGGGGGCCTCATAGTTTCTAAAATATCACTTCTGCCATAGAAATGAAACTGACCAGAGCAGATATAGAGAACATGGTAAAAGTTATATATTTATTTAACATTTCATATTAAGAAACCAGTGTTGATCGCTTCTCATCCTTTTAGCTGAGATCAAGCGAGGAAACCAATATTGATGAATCTGTTACACTCAGGGAAAAGCACCTTCTTGCTTTCTGTAATGATTTATAAAAACCACTTAATGGAATTTTTTTATTATAGATATTGAGGTAGGATTCCTTCCATGGCTAATGAATGAAGTTGAAAAATCCATGGAATACAGCATGGTGGGAAGAACAGTGGTTGACAGTAAGTTTTTTATTTTATTTAAAAGCCATCTCTAGGGCAACCCTTTCTGGACCCCTTGCATTATATTGGAAGCTTTCCTAGCTATACTTTATTTCCTGTCTCTCCTCTATAAATTATTGCTTTTACTTAAAAATGAATAAATAAATAGAAGCCATCTCTAAAATTTTTAGTAAAAAGAATAAATTGAAGAGATATTAATTTTATAGTTTTAGTACTTAAACTTTTAATATCTTGGTTATATTAACAATGGTCCAGATTTTTACCCTCAATATTATTTTTAGCTCTTTTGTAATTTGATCTATATTAATATCTTCTGTCATTACTTTACGAATGATACTCTCTTAAAACAGAATATAATTCATATTAAATGCAATTAGTGGTATAGAAATCAAGTATGCTGACTTTTACAAAAGATTATGATATAGGAAAGGGGTATGGTTTAATGGATGTTTTGTACTTCTCTATAAATTAGCATTATAACTACTAAAATATGGTAAAAATAGGACAGTCATGGTGACTTCTGAATATATAACTTTTCAGTGTTGATTCGTGAAGTGGTTGAGAGGAGACTGAGTATGTATGATGTCAAGGAGAATGGACTGCAGAACCTGAGGCCTGCGGGGGAGCAGGGCGCTCCTGCAGCAATGCGAGACCCACCACCCTACATTTACGGCTTCCAAGACCAAAGCACTGCACAGACCCAGAGGCTGTTGTCAGACAGAGACTACCTACAGAGAGTGCCGTTTGACAGAGGGCCAGAGTCAGCAGAAGAAGGAGAGTTCTTAGGGCAAAGTGAAGAAAGAACAATGAGGAAGCTCCCAGAGAAGGAGGAATTTTCACAGTAGAGGGAGCTTTGGGAGTAAGGAAACTAATTAATGACTGACCCACAGTGCAGTCAGGTGATGATGTGTGAGTCCCCTCAGGCTATAGGAATTATGTCTATTTAGTCAGCATGTCTTATTGTCTCATGGACTGGGCAAATCAAATGTGATGAAATAAAACTAATAAAAGAAACAAATTTAATTTATTTACTTAATAGAATATTCAAAGACTATATTGTAATTCTAATGAGAGTTCTATTTAATTACTATCTTCCAATTACCACTATATGTAACTAGCAAATATATTTTTCCTCTACCCTTCTAATTTTGTTTATTCCTTTTTTTTTAGTAAATATGATATTTAATATTAGATTTCTGTCCTGTCAGCCATTTAGCCTTTCTTCTGTGTAGAAACTGTTTTACTCCATGAGAGAATATCTGAATGACATGTACTGAAAGTTACAGTGCTCTCTCCAGGCAAGGACCAAGAACTATACCCTGATCTGTATAAAGTTAAACATTGGGTGGCCAACCTCTTTGGTGGGAGGCTGAGGCCAGAAAATTGCTGGAGGTCAGGAATTGGAGAACAGCCTAGAAAAAGTTAGCCAGGCATTGTGGCAGGTACCTGTAGACCCAGTTGCTGTGAGCTAGGCTAATGCCACCACATTGTAGTCAGAGTGACAGAGTAAGACTCTATCTCGGCTCGGCGCCTATGGCTCAACCGGCTAAGGCGCCAGCCACGTACACCTAAGGTGGCGGGTTCGAATCCCCAGCCCGGA